ACTGCTTGTGTTGTGAGTGGGTCATGTGGGAAGAAGCTGAGAGTTAAAATAGGACTTAGTCCCACAACCACAAGAAATGGAACAAGACCAACCACTAGTGAGCTTGGAAGAGACCCTGTGCCAGAGATGATATCACAGCACCAACTGACACCTTAACTTTAGCCTGGAAGGCCCTAAGCAGAATACCCTGCTCATCTGTAGCTGAACTCTTAACTCATGAAAACTGTCAGATAATACATTTGTGGTAATCTGTTACACAGAAACAGAAACTGATACACTAAGACTCTCTTGTTTCCCCCACCGGGTGTATAATTTCTTCCCTATAGCCAGATGAAACCTCCCACTTTGTGTCTTTTCCTCTCTAGTCCTGCATTTTCTACTATGAAGGCTCCAGAATATTCTTTGTATTGTTAGGGCTGTTGTAACTAAGTACTAAAACTGAGTGGCTTGAACAACAGAAATCTGTTCTGGAGGCTGAAGTCCTAGATTAAGGTGTTGGCAGAGTTGGTCCTTTTGAAGACTGTGGGGAAAAATCTGTTCCACGTCTCTCTCCTAGCTTTTAGGGTTTCCTAAAACTTTTAGCTTTCCTTGGTGTGGAAGTACCACCCCATCTCTGCCTTCATCTTCACATGGCATTCTTCCTATATCTCTGAATTTTCTTTTTATATGGACATCAGTCACACTGGATTAGGAGTCTACCCTACTCCAGCATAAACTCATCTTAACTATGTAGTTATATCTACAAGAAGCCTATTTCTAAATTCTGAGGTACAGGAGGTTAGAAACAACATGAATTTTCAGGGATGGGGGTGGAGACCACAATTTAACCCATTATACTCATATTTTACCTCTCTCCTTTCTTTAGGTTTAGCTGAGACAATACAGTACGTTTCAAAAGTCTTTCTTCCACTATGTCCCCTTTGTTCCAAGAGTTCTTATATAAAAGTTATAAAGCACATCCCTAGACATCAAGATTAAATTATATTCTTTTTTATTTTACTTGGGTATTTTTGGCTACCTTGTCTTCCAGAACACCGATTTGATCCTCTGCTTTATTTAATCTGTTAATTCCCTCTAATGTAATGCAACTATTGTATTTTTCACTCCTGACTGGTTCTTTTTATGTTTTTCATCTCTTTGTTGACATTCTCACTGAAGTCATCTGTTTCTCCCCCAGCTTCACTGAGCATCCTTATAAACAGTGTTATGAACTGCATTTGGCAGATTTCTTGTCTCTATTCATTTGGTTCCTTCTATGCAGTTTTGTCCAGTTTTTTTTTTTTTTTCATTTGAGAGATGTTTTTCTTTGCCTCATTTTGGTTAACTCCCTGTGTTTGTGTCTACTATTAGGTAAATCTGCTACATTTTCTGGTATTGGCAGAGTGTCCTTATATAGTAGGTGTCCTGTGGGGCCCAGTGGCACAGTCTTCCTAGTCACCCAAGCTAGGTGCTCCAGGGGTGTTCCTTGTATGGGTTGTGTGTGCCCTCCTGTTGTTGACCATCTGTGGCTGGGGCTGACGCCATAGAGTGGAAGTCACTTTCAAGGGGCTCTGGTGCAAACCACATCCACCCTTCAGGTGTGTCATTTGTGGAGCTGGTTGGGTGGTGCTCTGGTTGGGTGGTCTGAAGCTGGGCACTGGGTGTGTTGCTCCTAGAGCCTCTCGGGAATGGTTCCTGTGCAGGCCAAGGTTAGTCGCCACTTCACTCGTGCTGGACTTGGACGTGCTTGGGAGAGGCTATGCTGTGAACCAAGGCTGGCTGCTCCTTATTCTGGGCTTGGGATCCTTTGGTGGGCACCACATATAAACTGAGGGCAGCCTCCACATGTGCCAAGCTTGTGGCTGCTTAGTTGCAACTATGTTCCAAGCCAAGACCGGCTATAGCTTATGCCAGGTTTGGGGCCACCTGATGGGAGTTACAATGCAAGTTGAGATGTGGTGCCGCTTGAGATTTCCACTCAGTTTCATTTGTCTTTCGGTTAAAATGTTTATATTCCTGAAGTTTAACACATCCTTTCATAAGCCTTACAATGTGAGAAATGTGTTTGATTCTTGATTTTACTTCTTCTCTATCAGTACCTGTATATGCTTTCTCACCATCTTCTAGTTTCCACTATTGCAGGTGAGAAGTTTGATTATTATTCCTTCACAAGTAATTTGTTATTTTTACTTAGAAGCATGTAATTTCTTTCTATATCATGGAATGCCTAGGTGTCTGTTTTCTTATGAATTCAATTTGGGTCCAGGAGAACTCTTTTCTTCTGTTGGTGTTTACTGCCTTTCCATTTACAGTGATACCTCGGTTCTCGAACATAATTCATTCCAGGAGGACGGTCGAGAACCAAATTGTTCGAGAACCGAAGCAATGAAACCCAATAGGAAATAATGGAAACTGGATTAATTCGTTCCAAGCCCCAGAAAATGCCTATTTACTGGCCTAATTTGTATATAATATGTAGAAAAACATAAGTCTCAACAAGAAATAAAAGTGTACAGTATGTCTAAGGGTTAAATTCAGTGTAAAGCGTGACTCTCTCCACAAAGCGTGACTCTCTCCACAAAGCGTGACTCTCTCTCTGCACTCACACTGATGACACAAGCAAGGCGCGCTGGGCCGAATGAACGCCATTCGGCTCAACTCGGCTCATCTCGGAAGTTCGAGTTCCAAATATTTGTTCGGATTCCGAGACAAAAGTTTCTCGAATCTCCTGGTCGAATACCGATTTGGTCGAAATTCGAGGCGTTCGAGAACCGAGGTATCACTGTATTCTTTTTCTCTTTCTTGACCACCCATGATTCCAGTGGAAGGTCTCCTGAATCTATTTTCTATTTCTCTTACCTTATAACCTTTCCCCTCATTATGTTCCCTTTTAAATTTATTCCTCTGTACTTTCAGATCTTGCTCTTCATTTTTCAGACTCAGGTCTCAATTATAGTCTTCAATTCATCTACTCAATTGTTTAATTGAAAAATATTTACTTTTTTTCTCTAGAAGTCTTTTTTTTTTTTAAAAATCCTCACCTGAGGACATTTTTGCATTTATCTTCAGATAGAGCGGGGGGGGGGGGGGAGGAGACAGAACCATCAATGTGAGAGAGACACATGAGGACTGCCACCCTCATGAACCCTACCGGGGCAGGGACAAACTGCAACAGAGGTATGTGCCCTTAGAGGGACACAAACCTGGACTCTCTGGTCTGTAGGTTGATGCTCTAACCGCTGAGCCAAACCAGCCAGAGCATCTTTATAGTATCTTAAATATTCTTATCTTCTATTTTTTTAGGTTTTCATCTGTGTCCTTTTGCAGTTTTATTTATCTGGTTGTGTATTCTGATATTTCTTTCTTAGTGTTCTATGACTGCTGAGTCTCCTGAGAAGAGTATTTTTCTTTTTAGGTTTAATGAGACTTAGGTCTAGCAACTTTGTCTAGCTGTTGGACTGTCCTCAAATATACCCAACAGGTGCTAGAAGGCCAAGTGGTTTCTAGCCCCATGAATATGTAGGACAATGTGGTCTTTACCCCAGCTCAGTCCTTTGCTGAGACCCCTTGAAATGCTCTCTGGTTTGTAGTCTCTCTCTGGTTTGTATTCTGTCTCTACTTTTCTAGCCTCAGATCAGAGAAGATTCAGTCCACTTATTTAACAACTTTGTCTTTTAGGGGTTACCAGGTCCCAGCACATGCACATGAAGTCAATGTGACTTTCCCCCCACCTTTGAGAATTCTACACATCTCTGAATGATAGGCTTTTCCCAGGGTGCATCGCTTTCCAGACTTAGCTGGTGGACTCCTCCTATTACTGTCTAATAGCTTTTCCAGTTGAAGGAGAAAGCTTTGCATCAGTTCTCCCTGCCAAGGCCTTAGTATTGGAGATGCTATTTACCTATTCAATGTTCATTCTCCCTTTCTTTCTTATTTAGACCTTAGTTCTGCTTGAGAAGGCAATCAACACTACATAGCTAAACACACCTCCTCACATTCCCTTGCACTGATGGGTAGGTAACCTTTGACTTTGTTCTGACCAATGGCTATTGGGAGTGGCTTCTGAGATGACTATTGCTTTCCTGATAAGAAGGGAAAGATTTTGCCGAGAGACAGTGTTTGTGTCTTTTACTTTTTACCTGCCTGGAACATCGACTTGAAGCTTGGAGACAGAATCCACATTCCTCACCTATGAAGATGAAAACCATATCCAATGGCTGGTGCCCCAGGAAGCCAGATGGGAGATGTTATCATTGACTTCCTCAGAGTTCTGGTTATAAGAAAATAAACTCTTGCCTGGCTAGTGTGGCTCAGTGGTGGAACATCGACCCATGCACCCAGAGGTCGCCAGTTCGATTACTGGTCAGGGCACATGCCCAGGTTGTGGGCCAAATCCCCAGTGGGGGGCATGCAGGAGGCAGCCAATCGATGTTCTCTCTCACTGATGTTTCCATCTCTCCATCCCTTTCTAAAATCAATAAAGAAAAAAATTAATTAAAAAAAAAGGAAACTATTTAGTTTAGACATTGTAATTGGGTCTGTTATATGCAGCCTAACACAATTCTGACAAAGTCCTCACTTCTCCTAGTTAGCTGCTCAAAGCTTTCAGCAGCCATGTGAATCTTAGTCATTTCAATCAGAAGAGGCAAAGAGCATGGAGGGAGGAAGGGAGCTGCATTTAGACTGCCATGCTCCTAGAAAACCCCTGATACTGAAATGTTAATGAAGTTTAATCTGTAACATTCATTCATTTACCAAGTATTCATTAAGTGTCTACCATGTGCCACTGAAGTAGGTGCTAGAAACAAAATAATGATCCCAACCCTGACATCTTCTTCATGGAAAAAATTTCCTTTGATCCAGGCTGTTTTCACCTTACTCCCATGGTCCTGAGAAGCCACAGATGGGAAGGGTTTGGGGGAACATATTACAATGCCACACCATCTTCCTATGGTTTCAACATTTTAAAAGAGAAACAAGCAGGCTAATGTCGAATTCAGAGCAGGAGTTCCCCCAGGTACCTTCTTGTGTATCATCCTCCAGGTCAGCCAGAGTTGGTGCATTAGGAAGTGAGTACATGGAAGACTGGTTGAGTTCAGTCAGTTTTGTAATACTGTTAACTGCCATGCTGCCCAATGGAATGGTGTGCTCTATGGGAACATTGAAAAGAATTACACAGAGTAACAACCTAGTTACCATAGTTATCAGTAGAGCTTCTGCTAAGTAACCTAAGCCCACCTATTGTTTGATCCTAGGGCTGAGGAATCTGATGGAAATGCAAAGAGAATTAATGCACAACATGCTCTAAATCACTAACCTTTTATGCAAAGAAGGTAACCTGGGCCACCGGTGAAGAGTCCCCACTGCATGTGTTGGGACAGAGTACTGAAGAAAATTTAGAAAGGCGATGCTCAAAAGGAACTGAGAAATCTAGGGTAGGAGCCCTGTTTGAAGAACAAAGGACTTAATGTGTTTGCTCCTCCTTTCCCTTGTACTAATTAAGTTATATGTACTTTCCAAAGGAGTAACAGCTTTGATTATATACCCAACCCTTCTTCTACTCCTCTTGTTATAAGCTTTCGCGATGGAGAGTATCTCCCCCTCTACTTCATTTTTCCTTATCCAGTGCAGAGAACTTAGCAGGCTTCTTGCTTGATTCCAGTTTTCTGTGATTAGGGTGTAAATAAAACATATACAGACTGCATATTTTCCTTATCTATTATATAGAGTCCTTACAATACAGGATGCTGGCCATGGAATGGCACACAAAGACTCAGACCTCTGACTGCTAAAGAACTGGAATGGCTGAGGCAGTAAAGCAGCTGGTGTGTACACCATGGAATGTCAAAGAAGAAAAGACCACTAAAGAGATAAACATTAGAAGCTGCCTCCGCTGGCTTTTCTGTTACTGACGTTAGCTATCCAGTAACAAATGGGTATGATAATGGGGACAGGGACGGGAAGATGAGTTGGGAGGATTAAATTAGAGAAGGTATTGTAATAATAAAGAGGGATTTGTTCATGAAAGCATCACGGAATGCTCCTTTTCTGAGGCAGGCTAGTGAAGGGGCTAACCTAGCTCCATGATGTGGCCCAGGGAGATTCTGACAGGCGGTCTAGATCTGTCCACTCTCTGTTGCTCTAAACTCCAAAGGCCATGGCCATGCTACAAAGGGGTTTCTAATACTGGTGACAAGAATGGTTTCTGGGCCATCTGAGAAAAGTACTTTCAGCTAAAAGTTCATGTTAAATGCTCAGTAGTAAGCTATAAAAAGTACCTCTTTTCATCTGTGAGAGAGGAACAGTAAGGCTTTGGGAATCACCAAAGAAGGGAAACTTGGGAGGCAGAGGTAATGAAGGACAGGCCAATTCTGCAGATCTACTATGCAAGAGAAGTTACTGCACTCTCAGTGAGCATGGGAAGGTATAGGTGCTTCCCAAGGACAACAGCAGGTCTGGGGATGCGGTTGGAGTCGGGGCAACAAAAGCCTCTTGGGGACTGGAAGTCTGTGCCAAGAATGGGTTGGACTCCAGCACTGCCTTTCATGTCTACTCAGTAGCTGAATCTCTGATGTGCTGTTCCCACCTGAGTTCCCACATCTGCAACACAAAAGTCTGTCCTAGGCACATTTAATGCTGAGGCGGTTGGTGACTGAGGCTGAAGAGATGTGAGGGAGAGAAGGCAAAGCTCTGGTCCAAGGTCAGAGCCCCGAGGTCTTCACTATGCCGGGACTGAGGGAAGGAGCCCCTCTTATGACCTCCAGAGGCTGTCACTACAGCTTACCCCAGGACACTGCTCTGAGGTGGAGTCCTCAGAGGCACTACACTTGAGGTGGCTCAGGGTTTTTGTGTACTGTTTATTTTTTCTCTCCACCTCATTACAACAGGAAACCACTAAAATAAGCTTCCAGTTAAGTACTGTCTAGACTCTGGCTTGTGGGGGTGGTGAAGAAATGATGGCACATTTTAGCTTCGGTCACAGTTTCTCGACACTGCAGTTTAGGAAAACCCATGAAAACCGTCTAGATTCGACTCAAAAGTTGTAAAGGCCCTCAGAGCTGTTTCAGCTAACCTCTCAGGTGGGGAAATGTTCCCCTGCAGCAGGGGGCTGACTCACCATCCAGCTTCACACTCCATGTCATGTGGAAGCCATTGGTCATCAGGTAAAAATTCTTTATATCCTCAGGCAGCACACAGTTATTTTTCTAGAATCACAAAGCAGCTGTTAGGTAAGGGCTGGGGACGAGAGCATGGGGTTAAGCCTCAACGAAACTGGGGACACTATTTACTGTGGTTCCGATCACCCAAATAGGAAGACTGTGATAATTACCTACAAAACTCTAGTAGAGAGTTCACAGTCAAAATGGCAACAGAGGAGGCTCCTCAGTTCATTTCCTCCCGTAGACACCCAAATTACAGCTACATATTATATAATTCCCTGAGAAAGAAATCCAGAAGCAAGCTGAATGACTCCTATATGTCAGGCAAACAAGAAAAAACTCACACGAAAATAGGTAGGAAAGAATGATCACAAGCTCACCATAAAATCCAGTGACACACAACCAGAAGAGAACTCACAACTCCCAGATTCTTCCTGAGGAGCAAAGAGTTTGGATCCCACATCTGACACCCTATTTTTTAAGGCTTCCACCTGAGAAATGGATGCCCCAAAACATCTAGCTCTGAAAGCCAACAGGTCCAAGAGACTCACAAGGCTATAGTGAATAAGACACTTCTTAAAGGGCCCAGATGGACACACGTGACTATCCTCCAAGGCCCAATGCACAGCAGACTGAAATCAGAAGCCTTGTGGTGGAAGAGGCCTATTTGCTTATCTTAAAAACTTCTGTCTGAGGAGTAGGCTTCTAATTTAACATACATCTAGATGCCAACTGCAATACTCTCCAAAGACCAGGGAGGCCAGCTGGCAATATCTTTACCTTTCCTTCTGCCTCACTCCAGATTGCAGGCATCTTTGGGAAATGAGTTTGTGCATGATTAACACCCTGGCTATTTGCAGCTGTTGCTCAGGGGACACACCCCTTAATTGACTGGTACTGGTAGACAGCTGGGCTTATATTTTTGGGTCCCACAGAACTGTAACAGTGTAACAGTTGTTAACTAACTGTGTCCCCAAAGCACAGCTCAGAGGAAGAATAATGAAATGCTCAGTCTTTCCTTGAAAGAAGCCTATTTGTAGGTCTTAAAAGATACAGCCTGAGGATCAGGCTTATAATTTACCAAAATGCAGGAGTGAACTGCAATCCTTTCCAGAGATGGGAAGGACAGCCGATACCATATTCACACTCAACCCCCAACCTTGATGTCTCTGTGAATGGAGGTTGTGCACACATCTGGTACCCCTGCTTGTGTGGCTGTTACCCAGAGGACAAATCCGTTAATAGCCTGGTTCTGGTGACCAGCAGGGCTTTTGTTCACAGGGTCAATAGGATGGTGGCAAATGAAGAAACTGTTCTTAACTGGTTATCCACTTAGGGCTTGATACAGAGGGAATAGTCAGAAAAGGCTATCTCCCAGCCTAACTCTGAAAGAGTATTTAGAAGTATTTGTATATTTTAAAAGCAGCTCGGCTGGTGTGGCTCAGTGGTTGAGTGTCGACCCATGCACGGGGTGGGGGGGGTCGGGGTCACCGGTTTGATTCCTGGTTGGGGCACATGCCCGGGTTGTGGGCCCAGTCCCCAGTGGGGGGCATGCAGGAGGCAGCCAATTGATGTTCTCTCTCATCGATGTTTCCATCTCTCTCTCCCTCTCCCTTCCTTTCTTTCTGGAATCAATAAAGAAAAAAATAAATAAAAGCGGCGTCCATTCAGCTGCATCCAGGTTCTCAATGAAATCCTCCCCTTTGGCACACTGGTAGGTGTTGGTCCCCTCAACTACTGGGAGCCACTAAGGACAAACTACGCTGGACAATCACAAACATCTGAGAGAAAACCAAGAGTTAGGATAGGGTTGAACAACAAGGTTTATCTCTTACATGAGGCCATTCCTTCAAGACTGGAAGAGGTGGCTGTTTTATTTAATGCACAGAAATAAACACACAGAGTCAAGAAAAATGAAGAATTAAAGGAATATGTTTCAAATGAAAGAACAAGATAAAACAGCAGGAAAAGACCTTAATGAAACAGACATAAATAACTCACCTGATAAGGAACTCAAAATAATGGTCATAAAGATGCTCACTGAGTTCAGAAGAACAACTATGAACAAAATGAGAATTTCAACAAACAGAAAATACAAGTACCAAACAGAAATTACAGAGGTGCAAAATACAATAAATGAAATAAAAATAAAATTCAATAGAGGGTTTTAATGGCAGGCTAGATAAAGTGGAAGAAAGGATCAGCAAACCAGATGACAGGGTAATGGAAATGACCCAATCAGATCAGCTGAAAGAAAAAAAGAATGAAAAACAGTAAAGACAGCTTAGGGAACTTATGGGACAACATCAAGCAGACCCTTTTGCATTATTAGGGTCCTAGAAGAAGAGCTACAGAAAGGGGCAGAAAGCTTATTTGAAGAAATAATGTCTGAAACTTCCCTAACCAGGGGAAGGAAGGAGTCATCTCAATCCAGGAAACTCAGAATTCCAGAAGAGGTGAATTCAGGAGACATTATAATTCAACTGTCAAAGTTAAAGACAAGGATACAATCTTAAAAGTAGCAAGAGAAAAACAACTTGTTACAAACAAGGGAACCCCCATAAAACCATCAGGAGATTTTTAGGCAGAAATTTGATCGGCCATAAGAGAGTGACACAATATATTCAACGTGCTAAAAGAAAAAAATAAAAAGCTAGCCAAGAACACTCTACCTGGCATAGTTGTCCTTCAGAATTGAAGGAGAAATAAAAAGCTTTCCAAACAAGCAGAAGCTGAAGGTATTCATCACCACTAGACTGGCTTTACAAGAATGTTAACAAGACTTCTTTAAGCTGAAATGAAAGGGCACTAATTAGTAACAGTAAAAAATATGAAAGTATAAATCTCACAGGCAAAGGTTAATGTATAGTTACATTTAGAATAATCTAATGTTATGGTGGTGGGTTGATCACTTATAAATCTGGTATAAACGTCAAGACAAAAGCAGTAAAACAATTGTAAGTACAATAATTTGTTAATGGATACACAAGATAAAAGAGAGATAAATTGTGAGAATTTAAACATGTGTGACAGGGAGAGAAAGTAAAAATAAAAACAGAGGTTTAGAATGCATTCAAATGTAAATTATTAACTTAAAATAGACTGTTATAAACGGTTTTACATAAACCGCCTGGTGACCACAAAACAAAAAACCTGTAATAGATACATAGAAAACAAAGAGAAAGCAATCTAAGTATACCACTACAAAAATAATCAAACTACAAGAAGAGAGCAGAACAAGAAAGAAACAAAGGAATTACAAACAGCCATAAATCAATGAACAATATGGCAGTAAGTCCATACTTATCAATAATTACTTTAAATGTAATAGGACTAAATTCTCCAATCAAAAGACAAAAAGTAGCTAAAAGGATTAAAAACACAAGACCTAAGTATATGTTGCCTACAAGAGTCACTTCAAGTATAAGAGCACACACAAAGTGAAAGTCAAGAAATGAAAAGATATTCCATTTAAATGGAAATCAAAGAAAGGTGAGGTACATGTACTTAAATAAGACAAAACAGACTTTAAGACAAAGACTGTAATAAGAAACAAAAAAGGTCATTATGTAATGATAAAGGGGTCAATCCATCAAGAGGATATAACAATTTATAAATACGTATGCATCTAACATAGGAACACTAAATGTATAAAGAAAATATTAAGAGACCTAAAGCGAGAAATAGACAGCTATACGATTATAGTAGGGAGCTTCAATATTTCACTCTCACCACAGATAGATCATCCACACAGAAAATCAATAAGGAAACACTGAACTTAAATGACACGTTAGATCAGATGGACTGAACAGATAGTAACAGAACATTCCATCAAAATCAGCAGAATGTACATTTTTCTAAAGTGCACATGGAACATTCTTCAGGATAGATCATATATTAGGCTACACAACAAGTATCAATACATTCAAGAGGACTGAAATATCAAGCATCGTTTTGAGCCACAAGGGTATGAAACTGAGAATCAATTACAAAAAGAAAATGGAAAATTCACAAATGTATTATTGAACAACTATCGGAAGAAATCAAAGGGGAAATAAAATAAATCTTGCAACAAAGGAAATGTAAATACAACATACTGAAACTTACGGGCGGCTGCAAAAACAGTCCTAAGAGGAAGTTCATAGTGATAAACAGCTACATCAAGAAATAAGTTCTCAAACACATAAATTTACACCTCAAAGAACTAGAAAAGGAAAAAAACTAAGCTCAAAATTAGTAAAAGGAAGAAAAAACCAAAGATCACAATGGAAATAAATGAAATAGAGACTAAAGAGATAACAGAAAAGATCAATGAAACTAAAAGCTGGCTTTCTGAAAAGATAAACAAAAGAGACAAACCTTTACCTCGACTCATGGAGAAAAAGAAAGGACTGAAATAAAATCAGAAATTAAAGAGGAGACATTAGAACTGATAATACAGAAAGACAAAGAGATCACAAGAGAACACTATAAACAATTATACACCCAACACAGTAGATAACCTAGAAGTAGTGGACAAATTCCTGGAAACATAACCTGCCAAGACTCAATCATGAAGAAATAGAAAATCTGAACAAACCAATTACTAGTGAGGAGATTGAATCAGTAATCAAAACTTCCCAACTCAAAGTGGATTAAGGATTTTAACATAAATCCTGAAACCATAAAATTCCTAGAAGGAAACATAGTAGTGGGTAATAAACTCCTTGACACTGGACTTGACAATGATTTTCTGGTTTCACACTAAAAGCAAAGGCAATAAAAGGAAAAACACAGAAAAAACGAACAAACAAAAACGAACTAAAAAGCTTCTGTGTAGCAAAGAAAATCATCAACAAAATGAAAAGGCAACCTATATCATAGGAGACAATATTTTCAAGTCATAAATCTGATAAAGAACTGATATCCAACATATAAAGAATATTAAATTCTCACCAACATATAAAGAATTCATACAACTCAATAGAAAATAAACAATCATTAGAAAAAAGAACAAAGAAACTGAATAGATGTTTTTTCTCAATAAGCCATACAAATGACCAACA